GGAGAATTAAAGAGATTAATGGGTTTACATGAAAACAGTGTGAGAGGCAGAGGGCTTTCCAAACACAGAGACAAGTCAGAGAGCTGTTTGGTGATTATGGTTAAGCTCTCAAGGTGTTTAGCCGGTTGTGTTGACTAGGTAAAGCTCACAATGTGCCAAGATTCTTCATCGTCCAAATATGGGCCCCTAACCTTGGACATATTTGCAAATTTAATAACAGGATTTATTGATTAATCATTTGGCTTTAAGCAATGATATGGAAGATAACATTGAATAAGATGACTTTCCATGACTCAAATCTCTTTTTAAACATATTTTCGAGTCTTAACTCTGCTGTCTTGTAATGAAAATCTTGACAAAAATTAGATTTTTAGATTTTTGGCTTTGCCTTTGATTTTGGGTGTACTGAGGTGTTCAAAGCTTAATTATGACCAAGGGTGGTAGGAGAAAGAAACCTTGTCTCAAAATCATCATTGCCATGCAATATAATACACAATTAAACATCATCCTCATTCATTAAAAATTGCTATATAAGTTAGGCTAGTTAACCAAAACAACATTTGCTAACATCTATATTTGAACCCCTCGTAAATTAAATTAATTTAGACTATCGTTTTCTACGTGGAGATTGAATCCTTTCATATCAATAACAAGGAAGTTGATTAAAATAATTCAAACCACATGTGACATGTACAGAAACTGAACCATTGGGGGACCCAAGGGAAGTTGACTATTGAGCCCGTAACTGTAAGCATGGGTTAGGAGATAAATAATGGAGGGTGAGTGGCTGTCCAATTCTCCAAATAATGGGACAATTAGTTGGTTCTATACGGATATGCTTTCTTCATGTCAGTCGTTTGTGTTGTTTTGGGAAAGGTAGCATCCAATTGATGTCCTGATTTATACCTCAATTTCTCCTTTCTTTTTTGTAAATGTAAAGTTAAATACACCAACAAAATATTTGGCCCTTTTGGAGAGAAGGAGAAGAAGAGTTTTTGGGTGTGCCATTGCAATTTGCTACTGAGTTGGGTGGTGATGATGATGGTGAAGAACATAAGAAGAAAGTGTGAAGAGTGCGTGTGCTCTACCCTGGTGACACGTTTTATTCTTAACTGCAATTTGCAATTGAGTTGGGCGGTGATGATGATGATGGTGAAGAACATAAGAAGAAAGTGTGAAGAGTGTGTGTGTTCTACCCTGGTGACACATTTTATCCTCAACTGCAAAAGGGGGACACAAATTGGTGCGAACATGAAGAATAGCTAATGTCATTTCTACCCTCCTATATAACAAAGCACATTAAGGGTAGTATTGCCCTTTCTGATTTCATATCTGCTAAGCTTAAAGGTGCCAAACGGAATGGGCCAGCCAAGCACGGTATGAGCCCAACCTATTTAAATTAGGCACGGCACGGCACAAACACGAATATTAATGGACCGTGCTCGGCATGACACGAAAACTTGGGCCAAGCCGGGATCAAAAAATAAGTCCAATGGACTGGGCCGGCCCGAGTTTGCTTCAAGCACGACACGAGCCCAAGCCCGCTTCAAGCACGGCCTACTTAACTTTTTTTTTCTTCTCAAAATTCAAAATGCAATAATTTGACATGTAATGGCATTGTTTATATGTTTTTTTTTAATCATAAACATATATTTGATGTCTATCATTTTAGGAAAATTACTTGGGTCCTTAATTAATTAAACATATCAACTACAAATTAATTAAACAACATTGGACTTGATATCTAATCAATACATATGACATATACGCTTATCTTATAATCAAAGCAAGACATTTCTTCACATATAAAATAATAAGCTATTTAAAGATGAAAAGTTGAAGTGGACTTTGTGGAATTGGACACTTTTTGCCCTTCGCCCCTTTATATTGTTTGCATGTTTGATTGATTAATGTTTTCAAGTAGTTTATCATTTCTTGCCTCTAATTATATTTTTAATGTTTATAATTTGAATTATCTAGTGGGCAAAAAAAAAATCAAGTGAAAAAAAATTCAAATTAAATAGGTTAGTTCTTGGGCCCGATTATGGCACTAGCACGAGCACGGGCACGACACAAGTCCGGCCCGGCCTGTTTCAATATGGACATGGGCTTTGAGCCGGGTCGGGATCAATGATTTTACTAAATAGGCTAGCATGGCACGGCCTGATAAATTAAATGGACCGGCACGGCACGACACGAAAATGTTAAAAGCATGAGTTTAAATGGGGCGGGCCAACCCGGCACGGCCCGTTTGACACCTCTAACTAAGCTAATGCTTTAGCCTGTGTTTTGGCTAAACAGGGTTTTTCTTTAGTTTGGGTAAACAAGTAATAACAGGCATACCAAACAAAACCTAATTTCTCAACTTCTTTCTTTAGATCGAAGGGATGCTCAGGCTTCCTCTTCTTTCTTCTATTTTCTTATTGTTTTTCCTTGAATTATTCAGGCGCGAGTCTTTTTTAAGATCACGTATTTTTTCTTGTCTCCAAAACTCCACTTTCAAGGTCTTCGTCTTCATACATTGTCAAAATTGGGTGGGCTGACTCTCGTTATAAGCTTTGGGTCTTGGGGCCTATGTTCTTGGGCCATTCGTCGCAGCTGTGCTTTGTGAATCCATTACAATCCTTGTGTTTTTTTTCCTTTGACAAAGTTCTTTTTTCCTATAGAACATAAACAAATGATTAATAGTAGCAATCAATTTACAACCTAACAATTCCTAAATATCATAAAATCTAAATGTTTCCATATTATCCAATAAGACCTTTCAAATCAAGTGGAATTTAGAGCCGGCCGGGCTGATGTAAGATCATGCCGGTCGATAATTCTCATCTCCCTTTTTTTTTGTGGGTTCAACAGACTGGAATAAAATCAGAGACTCATTCAACCTAATTAACAATCATGCATGACGACAAGATATTATAGATTGAAGGAACCATCCATTCTTACTAATATTACAAGTATATATTATAGAGAAAGTCATTTTGACGTCTTCTCTCCTTTTTCAAATGTCAATTTTGGGAGCCATATAATTTGATTTTTATGTTAGAGTTCGCACAGCACATATCCTATGATGATGTGATCTCTTGTATATAATAAATTAAACATCGTAATTAAGCAACAATTCTATATTTGGACAAGTTACCTAAACGTATTCAATCAAGCATGAATGTCATAAGCCCCTTTGCCTTTAAATATACGTGACTTATTAAGACGAGTTCCAAGTCTATATATCAAAAATGCTAGTCATATCACATTTATGTATCATTTTGTGTATCACATTTCTAATAGAGGTGGACCTCATTATATTGATGGGCTCCACTTCTAATAGAGAGGTTGTTAGTATGAAAATAGTTCGTCATTTCCTAGACTCGTTGAAATTAGCGTGTGAAGAATTATACTGGACATTTTGGCACAACACATTCAACCCCATACATCCGAGACATGACTTGAACAATATGAGAAACTTGACTTCAGGTAAATCATGATATAATCATGCATTTATTATAGGATTCCTAGTTGGAGTTTTTTCACTCAAGTATTTTTATGTTAATCCTATTTTTAATAGGATTAGATTTTATCTCTTGAGATTACTTTCCTAGTTGGACTCTATTTTGATTTAAGTTAAAATATTATTTTTCTTCCTTAACTTGAAAAACACTTTTTATTAATAGTACCTAATTGGTCTCTTTGATAAAGATTGTTATCTTGAATAACAATCCTTGCATAAGCTGACGAATTGAAGAGTATTAGTGGTCTCCTTGTTTTTTGACGTTTTTTCATCTTGTGCCCATATTGAATCACAACAAATAGTCATAGTTGAATTGGTTTTGTGAATCCTTGTTGCATAGGAAGTGTACTCACGTTGGGTTTCTCTCAATTGAGAGAAACCTGCATGGAATAAAACCATTGTTGTTTCTTTTGATTAGGAGCTTTTCAACGTATTGGTTTTTCTTGGAAAATATTGCATATGTTTTGGGAAAGCTTTTCATTGCAATTACATCTTTGAGCATATTGAATCATTTAGGAAAAGTAGTAGTGCTTATCTTCTTTGGTAAGTCATCAAGTGCTCCCTTGTTGCTTGGTGATTTATCGAATCTATTCATCATTCATGTTGCATACATATGCATGTCGGTGACTCATACGGTTGTGGGCACCAAGACCGTGATGGCGGTTTTCCTCCGGCGAGCTTAAAGCAATCGTGACCAGTATTACGTTCAATATAAGGAGTGTCGAAGATCATCCTGTGACAGAAGTTGAGTTAGGAAGAAGTCGGTAAACATTATCTAGAATGTGTTTAGGATAAGTGTGTGAGTACTTCTTGTAATCATTGTTCTATAGTGGATTTGTGTTGGACTGAAGAGTCCCATAGATTTCCCAGAGGTGGGGTTTTACCAAGTAAAATAATTCTCTACATGTTCTTTTATTTTATGCTCAGCACATTTCAGGATTGATAAGCCATATCAATCCTGCCTCCGAAGTTTATTTTTATTTATTTGATTATAATCTTAAATTGTCATATTCACCCTCCTCTAGGCATTTTTAGTCATCCTACGGGTATTTTCAGAGGTGATATACAAATGTGGTACGTCTAGCATTGCTCTATATGTATATATAAATGTAGTATAGGGACTTCACTCGTATATACGATATGGCAGCTCTAAGATTGATATTTTTAGTTCTTTCTCTGTTCAACTTTTCTCTACTTACTTCCACAGCCAGTGGTGCAAATTCACATGAGAAAGCTACACAAATTTGGTTCTCTGCGTGTTCTTTTATTTTATGCTCAGCACGTTTTAGGATTGATAAGCTATATCAATCCTGCCTCCAAAGTGTATTTTTATTTATTTGATTATAATCTTAAATTGTCACATTCACCCTCCTTTAGGCATTTTTAGTCATCCTACAGGTATTTTCAGAGGTGATATGCAAATGTGGTACGTCTAGCATTGCTCTATATGTATATATAAAGGTAGTATAGGGACTTCACTCGTATATACGATATGGCAGCTCTAAGATTGATCTTTTTAGTTCTTTCTCTGTTCAACTTTTCTCTACTTACTTCCACAGCCAGTGGTGCAAATTCACATGAGAAAGCTGCACAAATTTGGTTAAACCATGGTGGAGATTTGTACAACAGAAGATATGCCCACAGAGAGACCAAAATAAGCCCTAAAACAGTTTCCAAACTAAGCTTGCAGTGGGAGTTTTATGCAGGCAAAGATATATCTGCCACACCAGCGATTTTCGATGGTACCCTTTATTTTCCAAGCTGGAATGGATTCATCCATGCTGTTAAAGCTTCTGATGGGTCCCTGGTTTGGAAGAAGAACTTGCATGCATTAACTGGGTTTAATGCAACTGGTTTTGTTTTGAAAGTCAACTGGACGGTATCAAGATCAACCCCAACAGTCGTTGCCGATCATGACTTTTTGATTGTTGGAATCTATGGGCCTGGTGTTGTTATTGCCCTTCAACGATCAACAGTGAAGCTCATATGGTCAACCCTACTTGATACTCATGCCGCAAGTCTCATAACCATGTCCGGAACCTACTACAAAGGGTTAGTCAGTCATTTAACTCCACCTTTATTTATTTTTTTTACTTTTTGATTTGACTATATATCAAAGTTGGATACAGTGAACTTCAATTGAGGGTTCCTATTCTTATAGGGCGTCTTATCCCGAATTGTATTTTAATGTATCCTCTTATCATGGTTAATCTAAATCTTCATGGAGGGGGATTCAAACTTGTCCAAAGTTATCTAAACCCTCTAAACCAAGTCTGGCTTTTGAGGTGCATGTTGGATAAATATTATCAGACTATATCAATTAATCTACTTTTACAGGAGTATATACATTGGAATGGCATCACTAGAAGAAACTCTTAGCGCTGAGGAATGTTGTACCTTCCGTGGCAGCTTTGCCAAATTAGATGTCAAATCTGGTACCATCTTATGGCAGACCTTTGTGCTGCCCGATAATCATGGAAAGCTAGGGCAATATTCCGGGGCAGCTATATGGGGCAGTAGTCCATCCATCGACGTCCATAGAAAACATGTATATATTGTTACTGGCAACATCTACTCAGTCCCTGAAAATGTAAGCCAATGCCAAGAAAATCAGAACAATAATAATTCAAGTTCAACCCTACCCACTCATCCAGATGCGTGTGTTGAGCCTCAAAACCACGGCCACTCAATCCTAGCCCTTGATCTGGACGGCGGCGATATCAAGTGGTACCGCCAGCTGGGCGGCTACGACGTGTGGTTTCTTTCGTGCTTCATTAATGCTTCAACATGCCCCACTGGACCAAACGTGGATGCTGACTTTGGGGAAGCACCGATGATGCTCCGGACCTAGTCAATGGAAGCAAACTAGATATTGTTGTTGCTGTTCAGAAAAGTGGGTTTGCTTGGGCTCTAGATCGAAATAATGGCAGCCTTGTGTGGTCAACGGTAAGTTGACTTTGCACTCACTCATCTACATTATCCTAATTTTCTATTTTATATATTACCTTCATATCATCCCTCTCGTGCACGAGATCAAAGCATTGTGTAGTAATAACTTCATATCATCTCTCTCGTGTACACAAGATCAAAGCAATGTGTAACGTGTATCAATTAATCTATCTGATACATTATTCATACTTTATCAATGTGATATATAGGAGGTTGGACCTGGTGGGATTACCAGAGGAGGAACTTGAGGAGCGGCTACTGACAAGAAAAGGGACACCAACATTGCTAACTCTGAGGGCAAAAACTTCACTCTTAAGCCATCTAACAACATAACAACCGCGGGTGGATGGGTGGCAATGGATGCTCGCAGTGGCAAAGTCCTATGGTCAACGGTCAATCCAAGCAATGCAACTTCGTCTGGCCCAGTTAGTGTGGCTAATGGTGTGCTATTTGCTGGGTCCACAAATCCAAAAGGATCCATATACGCAATGAACACCAGAACTGGAAAAATTCTGTGGTCGAATGAGACCGGAGCAACCGTGTATGGTGGCATGTCAATAAGCAGCGGCTGCATTTACGTTGGAAATGGATATAATGTTGGAATTGGATCCCTAACTCCAACGTTCACTGGCGGCACCTCTCTCTTTGCCCTTTTGTGTGACGTGAATGAAATGATATTTGTCACTAAATAAATGTTTATTAATTTAAACATATGCAAATCATATTAGCATTTACTTTAATTGTTTAATTTATTAAACAATTAAACAAGATATGTATGACATAATTAAATTCTGTAAATGTGCCTTCCGTAGGACACTAGCTCGTTGGAAGAAGTTTGCATAAGTTGAATTGCAGTGAATATCCTGAAATTCCCTTCCTTTAGTCTTTTTCTTTCTCAATACAATAAAAGCTATCACAAATCAATGAATATAATAAATAATAAATCATTCCGTATGGGTTTTTCTTTTCTTGGAATAATATTCAACCCTAATTTACAGTCACGGATGACGACTAATGCGTGCATATTGTTCTTCATTGTCATTGTCCAAATCAAGTGATATGCTTATGTAATATATCAACAAGCAAGCAGTTTTAAATTTGCAGATCAAAAGTTTATTTCAGCATGAATGTTAATGTCATCATAATTAATTAACTAATCCCCTAACTAGCTAGGCCCTTTATGTATATATATACGTGACTATTCAGTACGATGAGCTCCAAGTCTTTGCATCTTATAAGAGCATACATATACGTATATACGTATATACACACACAAGATACATGGCAGCTTTAAGATTGATCTACAACAATCTAATTCTAGCCCTTTCTCTATACGCATGTGGTCTACTTACAACCACAGCCAGTGCAGGAGGCCCTTCACATGAGAAGGCTAGAGCTCAAAACTGGTTAAACCATGGTGGTGATCTGTCAAACCGGAGATATGCCAACAGAGAGACCAAGATCAGCCCTAAAACTGCTTCCAAGCTAAGCTTGAAGTGGGAGTTCTACGCCGGCGACGATATATCTGCAACTCCGGCAATTTACGACGATACCCTTTATTTTCCGAGCTGGAATGGGAACATATATGCTGTTAAGGCTTCCAATGGGTCTCTGGTTTGGCAGAAGAATTTGCATGCGTTAACTGGGCTTAACGCATCTAGTTTTGTCGGTGTCAACTGGACAGTATCAAGATCGACGCCAACAATCATTGGTGGCCATGATCTTTTAATTGTTGGAATCTATGGGCCTGCTATTGTTATTGCCCTTGAACGGTCAACGGGGAAGCTCATATGGTCAACTATGCTTGATACTCATGAGGCAGGTCTTATTACCATGTCCGGAACTTACTACAAAGGGTTAGTCCATGGTCATCACAAATTTCACCCAATTTTTTTAATTTAAAATTTGACTATATATCATATCATATTTAAAGGTTCGTCACATGCATGTATATGAAACTTTATACAATTGTGAGATATGGCAAATTATTTGAGCCAAGTCTGAAAAATTTTGATGAGGAGAATGTTGGTGTTGGATTAATGTTAGATGGGTTTTTATCACAAGTGGCTCATGCCTTTTTAAATGTCATCATTTTAATCCTTAAATTCTATGAATCAATGTAATTCTTTCGTTTTCATCTTTATTGTCGAATTTTGACAAAACTTTTAATAAAATTGATCGTGCATCATTGCGTGATCAACTTTGATAAGATTAAAAAAAGTCAAACTTTACGGTGTGTGTATATATACCTTCCTGTAATTTGCTTATTTTATTATATCTTGTTTAATAAATTTTTTATTTTTACAGGAGTTTATACATTGGAACGTCATCACTAGAAGAAACCGTGAGCGCTGAGAAATGTTGTACCTTTCGTGGCAGCCTTGCCAAATTGGATGCCAAATCTGGTACCATCTTATGGCAGACCTTCATGCTGCCCGACAATCATGGAAACTTAGGAAATTATTCCGGGGCAGCAATCTGGGGCAGCAGTCCATCCATCGACGTCCATAGAAAACATGTATATATCGCTACTGGGAACGTTTACTCAGTCCCTGAAAATGTCAGCCAATGCCAAGAAAATCAGAATAATAATAATTCAACCATACCCACTCAACCAGATGCGTGTGTTGAGCCTCAAAACCATGGCAACTCAATCCTAGCCCTTGATTTGGACGGTGGCGATATCAAGTGGTACCGCCAGTTAGGCGGCTACGATGTGTGGTTCTTTGCGTGCTTCCTTAATACTTCAACCTGCCCTCCTGGACCAAACGTGGATGCCGACTTTGGGGAAGCACCAATGATGCTCAGTCCATACGTCAATGGAACCAAAAGAGATATAGTTGTTGCTGTCCAGAAAAGTGGGTTTGCTTGGGCTCTAGATCGGAATAACGGCAGCCTTGTGTGGTCAACGGTAAGTTGACTTTTGACTCACTTATCATTTTATCATAACAGTTCATTATTGCTATCGATCAGACATCAACAATGTAGCAGATATTGTAAATTGTTAACCGATACAAATTAATCACTCCCCTTACATAAATGAATTCCAATTGTATAGGAGGCTGGCCCTGGTGGCGTTGCAGGAGGAGGAATGTGGGGAGCAGCTACCGACATTAAGAAGGTGTACACCAACATTGCTAACTCTGATAACAAAAACTTTACCCTAAAACCATCTACCAACATAACAACTTGGGGTGGATGGGTTGCGATGGCTCCTGGCAATGGAAAAATCATATGGTCAACGGCCAATCCCAGCAATGCAACTTCTTCTGGCCCAGTTAGTGTGGCTAATGGTGTCTTATTTGCTGGATCCACAAATCCACAAGGCTCCATATACGCGATGAACACCAAAACTGGAAAAATTCTGTGGTCGAATGAGACCGGAGCAACCGTGTACGGTGGTATGTCAATAAGCAATGGCTGCATTTACGTTGGCAGTGGATATAAACGTACGTATATTGCCGGAACCTCACTCTTTGCCTTCTGCGTCACATAAATGAACCTTTGATTGAATAATGTTATTTTTCTTTTCAACATTGAAAGGAAGACGTGTCAAATTATTTATGAATCTACAAGTTGTTAGAAGGTGCAAATCATATTTGCATTATGTATCTACAAGCCATTTATCATGTGCAATTCAACTCTAATTTGACGATCATTTAGTGCACAACTTGATGCTTGGTTTGGTTGGTATGTTCAAGATACGACAGAATTAACTAAATTCTGAATATTTTCTCTGTACTATATATGAATTGTTCCATGATGTTCCAAATTTTAACTCGTTCCTCTTATGTTCCTGTCTAATTAAACCTCATATACAACCATGCATGACGACAAATGCGTGTATAATAATCAACCAACCGGGTGTATGAACGGAATAAACACCATCCACATCACCCTGGATAAAATATTTATATTTGATCAATTCTGAAGACAGATAATTAGGTTGGATTAGTACTGCCAAATCACAAATTAAGCTTATCATCAATTCTACAAAGTCTTATTGTTAATTACAGCTTTTGCGTATACGTCTACCCATTTCAGGAAATCTTTCATTATATACATTTCAATATCACCTTGTGTACCACCTCTCTAATAGATGTGGAGCCCACCAATACAACGGCACCCACCTCTATTGAAAAGGTGGTATATAAATGTGATACGACTATCATTTTTTTCAATGCTAGAAGAAGCCGACCCTTGGCCCTTTATATTGTCCTTGCATCTTGCAAGAGTATAAATATTATACGGTACTATAGGCTAGCTAGCTCTACCTCCTACACATATTGTACTATTGGCTAGTTAGTCTTAATTTGCTTGATATCATTCTTTAATTATTTTCACCAAATTTATCAGATTTTACACTCAATATCATGTTATTTATGTTAAGAGTATATGAAATAACATATGTGTGTTAGGTTAGTTGGCCAAGATATAGCGAGTTCATTTCCTTATACCTAAGTTCGAGTTACCTCCCCGTTAGATAAAATTTAGAGTAGATTATCACTTATATAAAACAAATTGTGTAAATGAAATAATAATACGTCCATGAATTAATCTACAAATTTTCGTAACAAATTATTAATTTAAAAGGCCAAAATCTTGAACGGTTGACCGTTATCTGAAATATTTGATTGACTTTTCCGCCTTATCTTGTGTTGTTGAACATGATCTTCAAGTTGATATTACAAAAGATTGTTAACCGTGGGTCAATAAGTAATCGGTGCATTTACGTTGGCAATGGATATACAGTTAGTGTCGGAGCTGTGTCTCCATTTAATGGTGGAACTTCACTCTACGCCTTCTGCATCACATGAACCTCTCCATTCTTCCAACATGTATAAGAATAATAAAGCATCAGCTGGCACAAGCAAAATGACACATATTTGCATTGCTTTAAGCCCGTAATAAATAAGGGAAATGTTCCATCTAGGTTGGAAAACCAAATCAACTTACATTTTGTGCACTACTTGTTGATGTTCACTTCTAACCTACAAAGTAGATTATTCAGAGAGAGAAAATAAGAAAGGGGTAATTAAATTCAGTAACATTTAAACACAGTTATAATATATTTAAATTATGTGGTTTACTGCGATATTGAACCAACAAATAAATATATTATCTAGGCATCTTTTGGAGTTTCAAAAAGTTTAGGAGAAGGAGAGGCTACCCCATCCCAGAACGAGGACAGGCCTCTTATCTAGGCATCTTTAAAGATACGAGAATCATGCATGACGATATGCGTGTATATAAATGTCAACGAACAATATAAATATGAAGGGAATAAAACAATCCACATCGCTTTAAAGGACTTTTCTTTTTTGGATGTATATTGAAGACGGATATCATACATATATGATATATGTAAGCTGTGTATATAATAAGCAACAATTTTAAAGTCAACTAATTGAACTATATATATTTTGCAGCCCCCTGGCCCTTTATATATACGTGACACAATAAACCTCATAACATACGAGATACATGGCAGCTTTAAAATTCAACAACAATCATTTAGCCCTTTCTATATTCACCTTTTGTCTACTAACTACTACCACAGCCTCAGCCAGTGCAGGCTCGCATGAGAAGGCTACACAAAACTGGTTAAACCATGGCGGAGATTTGTACAATAGACGATATGCCAGCAAGGAGACCAAGATCAGCCCCGAAACAGTTTCGAAACTAAGCTTCAAGTGGGAGTTCTATACAGGCAGAGAAGTATCTGCAACACCAGCAATTTACGAGGACACCCTTTATTTTCCTAGCTGGAATGGATATATCTATGCTATCAAAGCTTCTGATGGTTCTGTAGTTTGGGAAAAGAATTTAGAAACCTTGATTGGTATTAATAATGCGACTGGTTATCTTCTTAATGTCAACACGACGGTCTCAAGATCAACCCCAACAATCGCTGGTGACCTTTTGCTCATCGGAATCTGTGGACCAGCTGTTGTTATTGCCGTGGAACGGTCAACAGGGAAGCTCATATGGTCAACCCTGCTTGATAGCCATGCGTCAAGTGTTATTACCATGTCCGGAACTTACTACAAAGGGTTAGTCATATTTATTAGTCATTAATTTTATCCAAATTTTAGGGTTAAAAAGTATTAATCCCTTAGTGTTGAACATGATCCTCAACTTGATATGATGATAAATAAAAAAATTATTAGTAATATTGGTCAATGGTTTTAAAGAAACTAATCAGCAAAAACTATTTTCTTTATTTAATAACTAGTAAACTAACCTATGTGGTTCTTACATGGCTAGATATGCCAAATTCAAGAAAGTCAAATAATATATGCCGTCCATACATGGCATATACTCAACACATTATATAACGCCATGTACTCGAGGTATTATATTTTGAAACTTGTTATGTTGATATGGATTTCGATCGTTAGTGGAAGAGTCTTAGATTGTCTTAATTTTGATGTTAGATCGTTATTGTAATGGCCCCTGTGGCTGGCTAGTGGCTTTTTTTTTTTTTTTTTTTTTTTTTTTTTTTTAAATATGAATCTCCTAGAATTTCTAAAAAAAATCCCTTTGCTTAATTTGCAATTTCCATCAATATTTTTCAATTTATAATACTAATTTAGAATTTCTACAGCGGTTTTTACATTGGAACTTCGTCAGTAGAAGAAAGTGCCCCCATTGCTACATGCTGTACCTTCCGTGGCAGCTTTGCTAAATTAGATGTAAAATCAGGCACCATCTTATGGCAAACATTCGTGCTGCCCGATAATCATCAAAAGCGAGGGCTATATTCAGGGGCAGCAATCTGGGGCAGCAGTCCATCCATTGATGTCCATAGAAGACATGTATACATTGCCACTGGGAACTTGTACTCAGTCCCTGAAAATGTAATCCAATGCCAAGAAAACCAGACCAATAATTCAACCATCCCCACTCATCCGGATGCTTGTGTTGAGCCTGAAAACCATGGAAACTCAATCCTAGCCCTTGATTTGGACGGTGGCAATATCAAGTGGTACCGCCAGCTGGGCGGCTACGATGTGTGGTTTGTTGCTTGCTACCTTAATGCTTCAAACTGCCCCATTGGACCCAATGTTGATGCTGATTTTGGGGAAGCACCAATGATGCTCAGAACATATGTCAATGGAACCAGGAGAGATATTGTTGTTGCTGTTCAGAAAAGTGGGTTTGCTTGGGCTTTGGATCGGAACAATGGCAGCCTTGTATGGTCTACGGTAAGTTAATTAGTCGGCTTTAAACATAACGTGACATGCTGATATGATGCATCGAATCTAAATAATGAACCCTAAAATGATTAGTCCCCTCTACTTAAGTAAGGGGATAAATGATTTGGTATTGTATCTGCAGGAAGCCGGGCCGGGTGGCATTGGCGGAGGAGGAACTTGGGGAGCAGCTACTGACAAGAAAAGGGTCTACACCAACATTGCCAATTCTGATCGCAAGAACTTCACCCTGAAGCCATCTAGCAACATAACAACTGCGGGTGGATGGGTGGCAATGGATGCTCGCAGTGGGAAAGTCCTATGGTCAACGGTCAATCCCAACAACGCATCTTCTCCTGGCCCAGTGAGTGTGGCTAATGGTGTTTTGTTTGCTGGATCTCCAGATCCACAAGGATCCTTATACGCAATGAACACCAGAACTGGAAAAATCTTGTGGTCCTATGAAACCGGAGCATCTGTGTATGGTGGCATGTCAATAAGCAATGGCTGCATTTACGTTGGAAATGGATATAATGTTAGTTTTGGAGTTGTGCTTGGATTTACTCCTGGAACCTCACTCTACGCCTTCTGTATCACATGAACTTTTATCTCTCCTCCATTCTGTAACATCATAATAATAATAATGTAAAACCTTCTCTACTATTTGGAATAAATTATCATATTCTGTAAATGTGATCAGTAATCTATACGATTAGTGATTAATAAATGTCACACTTGGTGTTACTCCAAAAATTATAATCCTATAAATAGAAATAAGCCAAAATTTTAGTCCCCTGCATCCTGTGTGAGCACTTCAAGCTTTCACTTCGATGGCGCCTGCAGGATCCTCTAACAATCTTTTTCTCCTTTCTCTGTGTATTGTTTGTCTAGTTATAACACCAAGTGCAGGTTTAAATATTGTAAGCTTCTCTCTCTCTCTCTCTCTCTCTCTGTTCAACATTAACACTAGTTTCACAACTTGGTTGTTGGTTGCGGTGGCGTTCTGCACAGAATCACAAGGCTGCAGCCCAAGATTGGCTAAACCATGGAGGAGACTTGTACAACAGAAGATATGCAAACAGGGAGAAGAAGATAAGCCCTGCAACAGTTTCCAATCTCAGTTTGAAGTGGAAATTCTATGCAGGAGGTGACATAACTGTGACACCAGCCATTGTCGACGGCACTCTTTACTTCCCCAGCTGGAACGGCTACCTCTATGCTGTCAAAGCCTCTGATGGTTCATTGGTTTGGAAGAAGAATGTGCAGAAGCTGACCGGCTTTAACAACACCGGTTTCATCC